ACTCCTACATGGCCTCTCACCACTACCTTTACCAAATCGTGTTCACACACTTAGCTCTCAACAGTAGGACATGTTCACCACATTCCAATTCATCCCCGATGAATCAGACCTGACACAACTCTAAGCAATAGCAGGCATGACAAACAAGTATGTATGAGTAGGCACATCAGGGCTCAAACAACTCCTACTCATGCTAGTGGGTTTCATCTATTTACTGTGGCAATGACAGGTCATGCAGAGGAAAGGGTTTCAACTACCTCAACATGTAACAGTTGAATCGTTGTTGTCCTAATGCAGTAAAAGAGAGCAGGAGCGAGAGAGTGGGATTGTATCAGAATGAACAAGGGGGTTTTGCTTGCCTGACACTTCTGAAGATAGTATAGTTCTTCATTGGTGTCATTGATCACATCATCGAAACGCGTTTATCGAGAGGGGGAAATTACCGGCAACTGAGAAGGAAACACAATCAATGCAATGCACAATATGATGCATGATCATGACATGGCAATATGTTGTGGTTTGAGCTAATGCAACTAGCAGCAAGTTAAATGAAGTTGGTTTGAATCCAAGATTCAAATTCAAACTCCACATGTAGTTATTTAAATGCCATTCATTTGATTTGTCCTAAATAGTAGCCATAAGTTATTCTAACATGCATGCAAATGGTACAAATGGATAGATTGGATTTTTCTGATCATTTTTCATATATAATTTGTTTGATTTGGAGTTAACGATTAAATTCTATGATTTTTTGAAGTTTTGGATATTTTCTGGAATTTCCTGAATAAAAATAAATACAGAAAAAGGTTAACTGCATCAGCATGACGTCTGGGTGACGTCAGCAGGGTCATCAGGCCGGTCCAGGTCAAACCTGACCAGTGGGTCCCACTGGTCAGTGACTCAGGACATGTTAGTGTCACAGACAGGTGGGGTCTAGTCTACAGGTGACGTGGCCAGGTCAAACTGACCTGTGGGGCCCGTATGGTTAGTTAAACATAAACAGAAACTAAACCAGGCTAATTAGGCAGTGGGGCCCGGCTGTCAGTGTAACTAGATGGTTGTTTAGGGGGATAATTAGTAGCTAATGATGTAGCCACGTCAGCACGCCGGAGTTTTGGCCGACGGCGACCTCAAACCGCAGCAGCGTCCGCCGGAGTTGCACCAGAGACGACGGATCGACGCGCCAGGGGCACCAGGAGGTAGCCCGCGGCCTCGCACATCCAGGGGAACCAACGGAAGGGTGCGGGGTGGACGGAGTTCACCGGAAGCAAGGTTGTGGCGGCGGCTGGAGTTCGGGCGCCGATGAAAACGACGACACCGTGCACGGGAGGATCTACGGTTAGCACCTACGCGTTCTATGAGAGCTCACGAACCCACCGGAGGCACGCACGGGACCAAATGGCCACCGGAGCCTCGTCGGCGACGAGCTCGTGCGGCGGCATGCTGTCGGGTGAGAGAGGCGCGGCGGCTACGACATGCTAGAGAAAAAACGGAGAGGGGGAGGAAGATCAGGAGCTCACGTGGAGTGCAGTGGTGGCCTCGGCATGCTCGGGGAAGCTCGGACGGCGGCGAGTCGGTGATGGAGATCCGCGGCGGCCGACGATGAAGAAGTGGTCGGGGACGGCGCGTTGGAGCTCTTCCGGCCATGTGAGCTGACGGAGAGGACGAGGGTGGCACAGCGGAGCTCGGGGGCTGGTCCATGGGTCTAGTGCTGGCCGGTGGCCGCGGTGGTGACGAACGGCGGCGACGAACCCGTTCGGGTGAGTGAGAGAGAGAGATCCAGGGAAGAGGGTGAGGACGGGGGAGAGTGAGAGGAGTCCGGGTGGGCGAGGGGGAGTGCGTGGCACTTGGGGCTGGCTCCAGAAGCGGCGGAAGCAGGAGGTGGCTTGGGCGCGTGCCGGCGCGCGGTGGCCACACGCCCTCGTGCCCACTGGCACGATGTTGAGGATGACTGGCACATGGGCCTGGTGGGCTGGCTTCTCTGCTGGGCCAGGTAAGTAACAGGTACTCCCTCCTTCTTTATTTCTATTTTAATTGCTGTTTTCTATTTATTTCACTCTTTTTTGATTTAGTTCAAGCACTAAACCATTTTTGTTTCTTCCAATAATTTTTGCATGGACTGAAAGGAATATTCTAGAGCCCCTCACAAAATATCAGAATTATTGAAGCATTAAAAATATATATAACATATATTTTCTCCAACTCAAATACAATATGTGTTAATTCAAAAATCCAGAATGGCCTAGAAATATGTGCATCATTTTTGACAGAGGTTTTCACCTTTACCCGAAATCATGAACATTTTCAGAGGGCATTTTGGGTTCATTGAAAAAGATTTTATTTTGACCCTAGTTGTATTCATTAGCTGCTAGGGCTTGGATCAATCTCCATTTCAAGTTAAATAAAATTTAAACATGATGCACACATGAAGGGCTAGTCTAGTGCATACCAGAACTAGGGATGTGACAAGGTGAAGGATCAATCAGGAAATGATGTGTTGGATTTGCCGTGTCACATCCACACGAAGAAAGATGAAGAAGGTAATCTGATTTACCCAAAGTATACCACTCGACAATGTCGACTACTGATCCAACAGTTCCGAGGGAAACAGCCCAATGAGAAGGAGAAAGAGTCGGACAGAGATGAGGACGAAGAGGAAGACGATGGTTATCCCAAAGTCAATTCCATTCTCATGATTTTTGCTGACGTTGAGAGCAAGAGTCGGTTGAAGGTTATCAATGGAGAGGTGAATATGGTTGCTCCGGCGACAACGACCATGTACCTGAAATGGTCCTAGACAGCCATCACATTCGACCAGTCAGACCATCCTGCTTGTGTAAACCACCCCCGGGAGGCAAGCGCTGGTGGTCGACCTAGTGGTCGGAGGCACTCAACTGACTAAAGTGCTGATGGACGGTGGTAGTGGTCTGAATATCCTTTATGCTGAAACCTTGAAGGGGATGGGCATCCCGATGTCCAAGCTTAGTGAGAGCAATATGAGCTTCCACAGTGTTATCCCCAGAAAGAAAGCCGAATCACTCAGCCAGATCGCTCTCGACGTGGTTTTCGGTGATTCCAAGCATTACCGTAAATAAAAGTTGACATTTGAAGTCGCGGATTTCCAGAGTGCTTATCATGCCATTCTGGGAAGGCTTGCATACGCACGTTTCGTGGCTCGACCGTGTTACGTATACCTCAAGTTGAACATGCCTGGCCCCAAGGGTGTGATCACAGTTACTGGCAATCGGCAAAAGGCGGAGGAATGCTTCCAGAAGGGTTCCAAAATTGCCGATGCGCAGATGGCAGCTGTCAAACTTCAAGAGTATCCGAAGAATGGAGATCCGAGTGATTTGCTCCGAGCCAAGAAGCCAGCCACCGATTCTGCATTTCAGTCGTCGGGTGAAACGAAGCCCATTCATATTCATTCGACCGATTCCAATGCCGTGCCGACTCATATATCAACAACACTCGACAGCAAATAGGAAGAAGCGCTCATCCAGTTCCACCATGAGAACTGGGACATCTTCGCATGGAAACCCTCTGACATGCCAGGTGTACCCAGAGGACTGGCTGAGCACCGTTTGTGTGTCGACCCCAAGGAAAAACCCGTCAAAGAGCACCTTTGGAGGTCCGCCGTGCGGAAGAGGAAAGCGATTGGCGAAGAAGTGGCTCGGCTGCTAGCAGCAGAGTTCATCTGATAGATCTACCACTCCGAGTGGCTTGCCAATGTCGTCATGGTCCCTAAGAAGGATGATTCACTTCGTATGTGCATCGATTTCAAGCATATCTATCGGGCCTGCCAGAAAGATCACTTCCCTCTCCCCCGTATCGATCAGATTGTTGACTCGACTGCGGGGTGTGAGCGCTTGTCTTTTCTAGATGCATATTCCGGGTATCATCAGATCTGACTGTATGGTCCCGATGAAATATAAACAACCTTCATCACGCCATTCGCGTGCTTTTGCTATGTCACCATGCCATTCGGTCTTAAAAATGCCAGAGCCACATTCATGAGGATGATTCAGAAGTGCCTGCTCACCCAAATCAGTCGGAATGTGGAAGCGTACATGGATGACATCGTGGTCAAGTCTCGCAAAGGTTCCGACCTATTGACTGACCTCGCAAAAACCTTTGCCAACCTAAGGAGGTACGATATCAAGCGTAATCCGTCAAAATGCACGTTCGGGGTTCCCGGAGGAAAGTTACTCGGTTTTCTCGCTTCTGAACGAGGGATCGATGCCAATCCAGAAAAAGTTGTTACCATCCTCCGAATGAAACGCCCTGTGCAAGTGCATGAAATTTACAAATTGACTGGTTGATTGGCCATCTTGAGTCGATTCATTTCACGTCTCGGTGAAAAGGCATTGCCTCTTTACCGACTGATGAAGAAATCTGATAAGTTCGAGTGGACTGAGGAAGCTGATGTAGCGTCTGCAGAACTCAAAACCCTACTTTCCACCCAGCCGATGCTCGCTGCGCCAATCAGCAAAGAGCCTTTACTGCTTTATATTCCAGCCACTGGACAGGTTGTCAGCACAGTACTCACGGTCGAGCGGGTAGAGGAAGGAAAAGCTTACAACACTACTAGGGAAAAGCTTATACACAGAAATTTATCAGTATAGCGGTTTAAAAATGGATGCTACTGCTAATTAGTAGTAGCGAGGGGCATAAAAACCATGCTACTACTAAGTTGATAGTAGTAGCGAGGGGTATAAACCCGCGCTACTATTAAATGGCCTCTAACAATGCCCCCGGGATATGCCATAGTAGTAGCGAGGGGTATAAAACCAGCGCTACTACTAAGTAAGTAGTAGTAGCGCAGGTAAGACCCCCACGCTACTAAGCATGTCCACCCCGGCCCGATCCACACTCCCACCCCACCACCACACTGCCACCATCAACCCACCCCTGTTTATCTCAGAAAATAATATTCCACCGAGGCCCCGATCCAGATCCCCTCCACCGCGGCCTCCTTCCACCTCCTCTCCTCTCCAAAAGCCATGGCCGGCGGCTACGACGCCATGGCCAGATCCGGCGACGACAAGGACGAGGAGGCCATGAAGAGCCTCTACACCGGCACAGCCCCCGCCCCCGCGGAGGAGGAGGAGGAGGTCGACGAGGGGTACGCCGTCGCGCTGATGAAGGCAGGGGAGGAGAGGAGGATCGGGAAGGAGGGGCTGCAGAAGTGGCTGGTGCGGGAGGGGGAGGGGTCGCAGCTCCCCGGCGCCGGCGACGAGGTCGAAGATAACGTGCCCTCCTCGCTTGCTGCTTCTCCGGCGTGGACGGGATAGATTTGGTTGACTTGGGCGTTGACTCGTTTTTTTACCTCTGCCGCAGTGCACTACACGGGGACGCTGGCGGGCGGCACCAAGTTTGACTCCAGAGAAGCCCCGTTCCGGTTCACCCTCGGCCGAGGTACCACCGCGCTCTCACTGACAGTCAACTCCTCCTCTGCTTCTTCTGAACTGAATCTTTTCAGCTGGCCGTAGCAAGTCATGACAGATTATTCGCAGTTATGACTAGAACTTTGTAGATTAGGAGTACACTTTTACAACTAGCAACCAGGCATATTGGCAGGAAATCTCACATCTACAATGCTGACTGGGGCAGGGCTCATCAGGATCCAGTTTAGTGTGATTCTGCTCGAATGGGTATTGATCTGAATTTTGTTCCAAGGGTCAATTCCCCCCTTCACGCGCTCGATAGTGACTACTGAACCACCAGAACTATTGGATTTGAAATCAAATGTGCTCCTTTGCATTTCATCCCCATTTAGAAGTACTGAATTGTGATCCTGCATCACATAAACCGAATATTGTTAAAAGTAATTAGTTCTTCATACGCACATATTATACTGGTAAAAGAATTCTCACCCATGTTCTATAGACTCTCCAGGCGCCGTGAATGGAAAACCTGCAAGTGCATAATTATGCGGCATGAGTTTTTTTTAGATTAACAAAAAATATTCCAGAAGAACCAGGGATAAATACAGTAGATGTCATCATATACGAAAATTGAATTAACACCATTCCCTTTGTCCCGTTTCCGAAAAAAGACCGATTTCTTCATACTGCAAATGATTATGTTTGGACTTGGGTGAATGTAACCAGACTTATACTCTCAGATTTTGTCATAGTTGATGGTGTGAGGACTTATAATGTGATAAAGTATATATACGTTGTTGCAACACAAAAATCAGTGAAATATATTTCCTTTTTTGCTGTCGATGACATCTCCTGGAATCTTGACTCCATAAAGTAAGGATTTAGATAACATCATCTGTTCAGAGTTCAATTCTTTCCTTATCTGAAACTAACATATTTTACAATGGGCATGTTGGATGTTGCAGGTTCATTGATGACAGCCAATGGTTCATGCTCCGATATAAGTATGGAGGCTGTCATGATGCAGGCTATTTCACCCTGGACCTCCAGAGATTCCAGTTTGAGGGAGTGAACATTTCAACACGGTGTCGATTGTACTCACGCATATAGCAACTTCCCACCATTGTTGTTATCTACGCCGACAGTATCAAGTGGCAAACTTTCTGTTGCATCCTAGTTATCTCCCAGCTTTCATAATTATCACACGGCTTGTCTCATGCTAGATAGTTCATTATTTTGATTGGTAGTTATTGTTACACTATTTGTAGTTCCTACTTCTTATGTGCTCGTGGCGAAGCTAACCAAGCTCAAGAACATAACAAATTCATTTGTTTGTCCGTTTTCGTTGCCATTTTGAAGTAGTAATTAGAAAAGAAAAATTGAGTGATGATCTTGATTAATTTCTCAAGGGAGTATTCACCAAAAAATTCCTTAATGGAGTTGCCATATACTCCCTTGGTGTTTATCTTGCAAAACGATCCTATATTATTGGACGGAGGACTTAAGTAGCAAGAATAGTTTGTGCTCATGAACTCTTTGATTTGATCTTCTGAAGATAAATTAGAGGCAGAACAACCATGCTTTTTAGACATTTTGAACTTCTTATGCACCTCTATCTCACTCTGCATGCCAAATGCAAAGCAATCGGTTTGTTGAACGCTGCTACTGAGACCCCTGTGTTTCTTAAGTTAGAAATCCATTATACTAGCTAGGTAAACTTGTAGGCTAAGTAAACCTGTAGACCCCTGTGGTTCTTAAATTCTTTTAAGATCAATTTCTTATGTGTACCAATCTTTTTCTGGCTATGTATTCCAGGTTTCCAACTTGTATTACAAAGTACACTGTAAACACATAAAACAGAGTCTGAGTTGTTACCTGTCTCAAATTTTATTGAGGTCAAATGTGAATATTGGCCATTCTGCTTCTTCCTGTCCATTTCTTGTATAAGCAGTTTACCAAGTCTTCTCCAATAGTAATGCGTATGTCATGTATGTTCCTATTTGCTCCCAATTTCCTGAATATCTATGATCTGAATATGCATACTTTTGATAAATTTGGCAAGCACTCAAGAAAGTGCCAAGGAGATACTGGACCAAGGCGTGGAGGCACTGCGAGCTGAAGAGCACCTAGCTGCAGATGCTGGAGGCCAGGCCGGTGAGCCGAGGATTGGAGGTAGCGCTGATTGGTGGTTTTATGGAGAGATAGGATGCCACTGTTTGGTGTTTTTATGCATTTTGGTTTGCTTGTAACTGTGTTTGCACTAGCTGGGAGTAAGTGACTTGGCAAGAAGTGTAGGTGTTTTAATTGAAGGCATGAAATGCCATGACAATATGTATTCCCTTACAGGATGTGCTCTAATGCCGTTGGTTTATTATAAATCTTGGATTAGTAATGATGTGTAATGCTGCTGGTTTATTGCAAATAAGTGTTTGTTTTAGTTGGAACTGTATGTATAGAATGCAATTGGTGGATTTTATTTTTTTAATTCCTAATTAGTTAGTAGTAGCGTGGGAAATCACCAAACGCCTTACTACTACTTCGTTAGTAGTAGCGTGGGTTTGCATCCATGCTACTACTAACGTTTCAGTAGTAGCGTGGGAAAAACCTGAGGCGCTAATACTATTTCATTACTAGTAGCGTGGGTTGCACCCGCACTACTACTAAAATGTTAGTAGTAGCGTGGGTTTCACCCACGCTACTACTAACTATTAGCTGTAGCGCAATACTAGTAGCGCGGGTACCCGCGCTGCTAGTACCCATTTTACCCACGCTGCTAGTAGCCTTTTTCCTAGTAGTGCAAGGTTCAGCGCCCAGTTAATTATCTCCCTGAAGTTTTGACTCCATCCAAGCAACGATATCCTCATTATCAGAAGCTTGTCTATGGAATATACATGACCATGAAGAAGGTTGCATATTACTTCTCTGATCACTCTATTACAGTCGTCAGCGACGCACCGTTGTCTGAGGTTTTGAATAACAGAGATGAAACTGGTCGAGTGGCAAAATGGGTTATTGAACTCCTTCCACTAGACATCAAGTTTGAGGCAAAGAAAGCTATCAAGTCCCAAGCAATCGCGGATTTCCTTGCAGAGTGGATTGAGCAGCAACTGCAGACTCAAGTTCACTCAGAAAATTGGACTATGTTCTTCGATGGCTCCAAGATGCTAAACGGATCAGGTGCTGAGGTAGTATTGATGTCCCGCCATGGAGACAAGCTTAACTATGTTCTCCCGATTCATTTTGATTCCTCCAATAATGAGGCAGAATATGAAGCACTTTTATATGGGTTGCGTATGGCCATTTCACTCGGCGGCCGTTACCTGATGGTATACGGCCACTCAGATTTGGTGGTTAATCAAGTGATGAAGGAATGGGATGTCAGAAGTCCAGCCATGACTGGCTATTGCAATGCTGTTAGGAAGCTGGAAAAGAAGTTTGAAGGGTTGGAGCTTCACCATGTACCCTGATTGAAAAATCAAGCTGCAGAGGAGTTGGCAAAGATATGTTCAAAGAGGGAGGCCATTCCCCGCAATGTGTTCTTGGAACATATTCATTCACCTTCAGTTCAGGAGGATCCTTTCACTGAAGAGTCGTCACAGCCCAAGAGTGCCACGGATCCGACTGAAGTCAAAATCCCAGCCGTGGTCGACTTGATCATGGAGGTTTTGGTCATTACTCCCGACTGGACAGTGCCGTACATTGCATACATTCTTAGGAAAGAACTTCGAGAGGATGAAGAAGAGGCTCGACAGATCGTCCGGCGATCTAAGGCCTTTACCGTGATAAAGGCGCAGTCGTTCAGAGAAAGTGTAACTGGAGTCTGCCAGAAGTGCATCATGCCAGAGGAAGGCCGGGTGATCCTCAATGATATTCACTCGGGAACCTGCGGGCACCACGTGTCCTCTCGGACCATCATGGCCAAAGCATACCGAGCCGGATTTTACTGGCCGCGGGCCAATGAGATGGCTAAGGAAATAGTGGACAAGTGTGAAGGCTGTCAGTTTTATTCCAACATGTCTCATAAACCCATGTCAGCTCTGAAAACAATTCCACTCGTCTGGCATTTTTCCGTCTGGGTACTGGACATGGTTGGACCTCTGAGGACTGGCAGGAGTGGCTTTACTCATGTGCTGGTGGCAGTCGACAAGTTCACCAAATGGATCGAAGTCAAGCCCATTAAAAACTTTGAAGCAAGTACAACTATGAGTTTCATCAGTGAACTGATATTCAGATATGGCGTCCCACATAGCATCATCACGGATAATGGCTCGAACTTCGATTCTGAAGAATTCAGATCCTTTTGTGCCTTCCAAGGAACGAGAGTCGAGTACGCTTCGGTCGCTCATCCTCAGTCGAATGGGCAGGCCGAGCGGGCGGATGGATTGATTCTCAAAGGACTGAAACCCCGTTGATGCATGACCTAAAGCATGTAGCAGGGGCTTGGGTCGATGAGCTCCCATCAGTACTTTGGGGATTGAGGACAACCCCTAACCGGTCGACTGGAAGGACTCCATTCTTCCTAGTCTACGGAGCCGAAGCCGTGCTCCCTAGTGACTTGTTCCACAACGCGCCTCGAGTCGAACTCTTCTCAGAGGAAGAAGTAGAGCAGGCTTGGCAAGATGCAGTCGATCTCCTAGAAGAGGAAAGAGAGATGGCTTTGATCCGATCGACCATTTATCATCAAGACTTGCGTCGATTTCATGGCAGAAATGGGAGGGGTCGGGCATTTCAAGAAGGAGACCTGGTACTTCGAGTGGAACAGCAGAGACCTCACAAGCTCGCTCCTGCTTGGGAAGGCCCTTTCATCATCACCAAAGTGCTCCACAATAGAGCGTATCGTCTCCTCAATGTCGAGCATAATAAAGATGAGCCACGCGCCTGGAATGCGGATTTGCTGCGCCCTTTTT